TTAAACTGGATATATTAAAACATCATAGGGTTAAGAGCTATTATCCACTGTATAAACGGCTATTGTATAACATAAAGGATTTACTGCATTCCGACTGTTATATTATAACTATGGTATTGATCTTATAATACTATTAAATATCAATAAAATAAACAATGTAATTTAAAAAATTGTAATTACAGTTAATGCCAGTAATTATCTTCAACGCCGAGCGACCAAATATTATACACAAACATTTAGTGAAGTAAGAAATGCAGTGATTATAATATTTATTAAAATCATTTTCACATAGATTTCAACATCGGTTATACATGTATTTACTTCAACGCTATTTAAGCATTAAATACGGATCAGAATCGGAGGCAAAGACAAAAATACAACAAATTGAGAATATTTTACATGATTTATACAAATTGACAGCAATTCAAAAGCAGAGCCGACGCATACGCGGAGCCCAATGGTCGGGACCACTGCTCAGAGAGGTTCTTGACTTACCAGAGGATTGATAAATATTATCAAATAATCAATTTAACTTGATAAATATGACATTTCAATTTGTGTTATATTTATTAAGATTTAAAATATATTTTACTTACAGTAACAGTTATATTATTGTTATTTAACATGTTTAAAGTAATATCGTTGCAATAAATGACATAAAAATATAAGTTAAAACCTTTTAATTATAAAATTAAAGCTCAAAGCTTAAATTACAAAGCTCAATTACTTTGAAATGTTTCCTTAAAATTTCCAAACAATTGTCATTCTATAAAATTATTTGATGTAATTAAATATATTTTATTTTTTACTTTATAAAGTTATATAATATTTTAAATAATTTATAATAAAATATGTAATTATTAATTGGTTTCGCATAATTCAGTCAAAAGAGGTACAGAATATTTAAAAGAGCAGTGAAGAAGTTTAAATATATAAATATATTTTTGACTCAATTCTTGAATATATTTGAAATTATTCATAAAACACAATAATCTTGTGCTGACCTCACAGTCGGACCCGTATTTCAATAATAAATACCTTCTCAATAAATGCATATAACAGTGGCGTTGAAATCTATAAAACATATAATAGTAATAGATTGTTATTAAAAATAATAAGTTATTCTAATTAATATAAATATTATGAAAAATTAATTGATAGCTCACTTAATAGCTTCCCTGTGCATGAGGTTTGGCCGGTTTGGGTTGAATACTAATATAGCAGTTAACTAAACACAAACAAAACAGTTTTAAATATAATTAAAAGTTTATCAATTGACCATATCAATTACCATTTTACTAATAATGGGATCACCATCCCAATAGTTTAACATCGATAGCAATAGACTGAAGTGTTCATCAATTTTGTCGTCCAAAATTGGATATTCTTTGCACTCGATAATAAATCGGGTTGATTTGTTGCCCTGGTCATTTTAAATTATTTAAATTGCCTATAAATATTTTAAGTAAATTATTTAAGTAGACAATTTGTACCTGAATTGCAATCCAGCCATTGTTAACCTTATCGTAATATACAGTAAATCCTAACACGGTCATTTCCACAAGCCCGTGTTTCAACAAGCTAATCTGATCACTCTCGCACAAATTGTTAAAGCCGTGCAATTGTTTGACCATGTTTACATATAAGGGTATATCGCTTTCGCATTTAAAAATTAACGCTTCTCTGAATTGATCATAAGAAATGAGATTTGATGTAATAATCGGTACGTTCTGTAGCTGTAAATGATTGGTCGCAGACAACAGTTCCCGGATGTGATTGAACTCAATCTCGTTAAATGTCTTCGGGTTGTAGTCATCGATGGGTCGGCTGATGGTAGCGATGGTGAGGTTATAGTTGACCACATCTAATGTAATATTGTCTTCAGTGCGTGTAATACTCATGTTATCACGAGGTGTTTGACCATCACTTGTGCCGACATTATCACCGCTGGAGGTGACGGTCATATCTGATAGACTTTCAGTGTTTTTACTACATTTCATTTGTTGCTGACGTTTGGACTCATTTTTAAGCCTCCTTTTAGTCCTATTCTCTTCAGTTAATACCAATTCCTAACGTATGATAAAATGTATGATTAGTTTCAATACAGACTTATAATGAATATAGTTTTGAAAACCTTTTTCATTCCGACAGCAAAACACTTATTCAAACGACACGTCCGGCAGAATATTCTGGTCTTTGAAGTGATTTCACAGTTGTTGTCAAAAAGGCACTCAAATACCTATTCATTAAATAATTATGAATACATAATTAGATTTTAAGTTACATTTTTATTTATTTATTTAATACTTACATTAATTTTGTGTGCATTTCGTCTAAAAAAGGCCTTGCACGATTCACAGGTAATGACACCAAAATTGTTGCCTAGAATTGCAATGAGAAATGTTTATTTTTAATTAATATTTGTAAGTAAAATAAAATTATAATTAAACTCTGCAATGATAATGTAAAATAAATTATATATTATTTTAAGAGTATCCTAATTATTTTAATTAATTATTTCAATTCTTACCTAGAGCCTTATCTCCACAGACCACACATTTGCAATTAATTAATATTTTAGACATTTTGTTTTATTTGAATTCAAAATATTATTAACATAATCACATTTATTATAAAGTTATTTTTAATAAATACATTATGATAAAACATTGTTATTAAACATTTTATATGTTTTTAGTATTAAACAAAAAGTTAATAATATTTTATTTAAATAACTGTATTTGTTATAAATTAATATATATTAATATTTATTACATTAACTGTTATCAATAAAATGGTCTCTAGGCACTTGCCAAATTTACCATATACAATGTACATCAACTTATTATCTATTTAATCATATTTTATCTGTACATTTACTTTCAATGGCTAATTAATTCTAGTGCAAAGTTAGTGCACTGAAGGTAAATTGCTTAACTAACTTGTAAGGTTATTGTGTATTATTGTGTATATAATTATGTATACTTGTCTTTACATGTATTCACACAATTTATACCAATAGATAGCGTTAAGGAATTTTTGCTAGAATTTTGAAAACTTTATACAGAATATACATATTTTTGTTAAAATAAATGTATTTATTTTAAATAATTTTTTAAGACATCCTTAACATTTTTAAAATAATTAAATAATCATGGTGGGGATGAAAGTAGGGGAGTGTGGAAGTTATAAATTATAATTAACACACCTGCGAATATGAAACATAAATAATTAATCAATATGTTTAACGTAATGTTTTTTACAACAAATAATATAATATAATTAATTTAAATTATAACAAAATAGGAAAAAAGACATAAATGTCAGCAAGTGCACTTGTCTAAACTAAACTTTACATTGTATAAATATAATGTACATCAAGTACAAGTAATAATGTGCATTGTAATATTAGATTAAGTTTATAAATGTAACAAAATGTTTTAAAAATTCTTATTTTATTCTGTGTTATAAAATATAAAATGTCACCTAGGAGAAAAATTTGTCTTGTTTGCGGCGATTATGCTAAAAGTATGTTACTTAAACTACATAATTATAATGTATCTTTGATACATTTTAATCAATATTTGTATGGATTTACATTAAATTAATAGTAGTATTAATAATAAATTATTGAATTAAATTAGTTTAAATTTTTATAAAAACATATGTAAATATTACATTTTTCCAGACAAACATTATGGTGTAATTACATGTGAATCGTGTCGTGTATTCTTTATGAGAAATTTGGGAAAATTAAATGTAATTATGATTTAAATGCTATTTAGATGTGAAATAAATTCATACAAATTATTTACATTTAGAATATTGGCTGCGATTTTGAAAACAACTGCAAAATTACTTCAATTTCTAGAAAACATTGCAGAAAATGTCGATTAAAAAAGTGTCTCAATGTAGGCATGAATGAGGTATTTAATTAATGGCAATTAAAATTGTTAATTTTAATTATATTTATTATAATGGCAACTTATTTAGCATCTTGATCGGATACTCAATGACAAGAAACTAGATGAAATTCGAACTAAAATTTTGGTCACAAGTATGTTATTAAAAACGATTGTTTATTAAATGTGATATAGCATATTTGACAATAATTTACAATTCTCTCTCTCTCTCTCTCTCTCTCTCTCTCTCTCTCTCTCATGGATCAGACAGTGATATGATTGACGACTGTATCGATGATATCGTTAATAAATATAGCGGTAAGACTGAAGTCTATCACATAAACACCACTCAAACAAATAGCACAACAGATATAACAAACTCAAGCCATGAATCGGCAATTATTGCGGTCCCAAAACCGATCACTGATTACAACAATCGTTTCAATGATAATGAGTACCAATTTGTGAGCGAACTCTTGTCGGCGACCAATCATTTGCGGCAAAAAGTGGTTCCAGTGGTTGTATCGGAGGTCACGGACTCTAACGTCGCCAACAGATATGGTAGCATTAAAATGGAGAAAGACATACAAATGTTGGCCAAAATGTTTAAAGGTTTGCGTGCATTCAAAGACATGTGCGAGAGTGACCAGATGTCACTTTTCAAAAATGGTATCGCTGAAGCGCTAGTGTTTTACGGCAATTATACTAGTTTTAATTACGACACTCAATGTTGGCATATTGTCCTGGTAAATTTATATTTGTGATTAATTATAGTTATTACTGTTATAACATAGGTGATTTCATTTCAGAACACTACCGATGCAATTATTGTTAAACTAGATATATTAAAACATCATGATCAGAACTATTATACATTTTATAAAATGCTATTAAATAACATGAGAGACACTTTGCATTTGGATCCATATATCCTTATTATGGTATTATCCGTATTGAATAAAAATAAAATAAAATAATTAATAAATTGTAATTACAGTTAATGCCAGTAATTATCTTCAACGCCGAGCGACCAAACATTAAATATAAAGATTTAGTGAAGTAAGAAATACATATTAATACAAAATACATATTATTTTGTATACTGTTTATCAAAAAACATATTAATCTAATATTATATTCTGTGATAGCCTTCAACAGCAGTTATACATGCATTTACTTCAAAGATATTTAAGCATTAAATTGGGCTCTGAATTGGAGGCGAAGAATAAAATTAATCAAATTATGGATATTTTACATGATTTGCGCAAATTGGCAACAATTCAAAATGACTACAGGCGTATACCCGGACTCCAATGGTCGGGACCACT